GCGGCCGCGCGCGCCCCCTGGCGGCCCCGCCGCCGCCAACGGCCGCCCTCCAACGGCCGCCCCGCCGCCGCCAACGGCCGCCCCCTCAACGGCCGCCGCGCGGGAAGGGTTCAGTGCGTTGGGCACCAGCGAAACGCCGCGTTTCGCAGGAAACAGCCTCACGATTGAAGGTTTCCCCTCCGCCCCACACGTCTTATCCGTGCTCTTTCCATCTGAGAGTTCCGTGTCCACRCACAGGTCGGGGTGTGGGGACAAATCCAGGTTAGGGGGGATGCACCCAAGCTGTTTCAAATGAATTAACACCAGCCGTAACACTCCTAAAGTTTTATACAGCTCAAGTCGGAGATGATTTGTGTTCTTCATACACCTCCACCTCTGGCACCTAAGTATTCGGCTTTGTGCACAATAATCTCGCTGCCTACAAACTTCTTGTGTGTTTTCCACACAGCTTGTTCGGAATTACACAAATAACATTTGAAGCTTTCAAGCAAACCTCTAGCCTCACACTGCACTATGGCACCAGTAAAAGCACATGAACTCCACTTAACATAATTTTTCTGTAAAATAGCTGGAAATGCTTTGTGAGTACTTTCTGAGTAGACTCAAAATTAAAAAAATCCAAAATTAAGAGACTGTATTCCTTAATGTAGCAGCTTTTTATATCTAAAACTGTTTTCTTAATAATTTGTATTTTAAATTACTCTCACTTCTCATTAGACTAGTTGCACAACTGCAGAACCACCATCACAGAAGTTTAGTAACACTAAATATATTTCAGAACAAGTTGTGTTCAGTACAAATAATATGTGGTCAGCTGTTCTACCTGGAAAAGCTCATTTGTCAGCAATTAATAGTTTGTGGGATGCAATTCAGTCTTCCTGAATGAGCCAGCCTGGTCCTTCTCTCAGGTAGGTATAGGCAAGTGAAATCCCAAAGTTTATATATGAAGATTATTCTGACAATAACCAGCTTCTGCTTTGTTTTAAGGCTGGCATCAAACTGTCCAGTGCAAAAAAAAA